AATATTTCTGTAAACTTCTGAAAAAGTTGAGGAACAAAAATCGCACTATATAATCTAGTAATGTTAAAAAAATAAGGAAGTGTGAGCATGCACATCACATAGTTTTATTCACCAAGTGTTGATTTTTTGGTTTCTTCAGTTTTCAAAATAATCAATATATATATATATATATTCTGTTCTAAAAAATACGTTTAAAATAATTATTTTTAATTAACATTACTTGTTTGTTTATAATTAAGCACCAAGCTACACAATGGGCTATCTGTGCTCTGACCAACACGGGTATCGAAACCCGGATTCTAGCGTTGTAAGTCCGCAGTCATACCACTGTGCCACTAGGGGGCATTAACATTACTAACACCTGTCGCGCTGGAAATTGGGTAACATTTTGTACAAGGAGTAGGATTAAAAAAATAATAACAATAAAAAGATGATCTTGGAATTCGATTGCAGAAATGACACTGAAGTACTAATAATAATGATTTTATAGCTTTTTTTAGAGTAAAATATTATGTACAGATGAAGATATGGTTATATAAAGATCGATGTATCAATGAATATTAGCTACATATTAGGAACATCAGATAACTGTCACTGCAATTGTAAACAGCCTTATTCAGAATGTGTTTACAAGATAGTGTGTCAAGCTAAAACATCGGGTATTTTATTAGGTTTTGATATCAATTTTACACAAATGGAAAACGTCATAATTTTGTAGTGAGGCACACAATGGAGTTCATAACACCCTTCTCTGGATAGAATGCTGAGAAGTTTTGATTGTACTTTAATTACATTTGTTATGGATTTGACTTCGTTGTTTTCTATGCTATTTTTACAATTTTCTTTTCTCTTATTCAAAAGCATATTTTCTTTAGTTCGAAAATGCTGTAAGTAGTTATACGATTTGCTTTATCAACAAAATTGAAGGATTCACTTTCACATGATTTTCAACTTGGTAGATTTGTCGTCAAAAAAGCATCTATAACGAAAACATCTATATCATATACATCTTTATTTCATGACGTATTTACTTTCTTTGTCATCATCAACGTCAATATCAATAAGATCCATATCGTCATTTTCATTATTGATATTTTAAATATTCTCACTATAATTTGGCCGCAATAGTTTTTTTTCTCGACCGTTTGTTACATTAGTACTTACCAATACACTTTGTGGCTGCTTTCCTCCACGTGTACGACTCAATTTAGCAGACATTGGTAATCCATCACACTCACAAACACTGCGAGAGCATGTTAACATCTTTTACATTTGAAGATGAAGTTTACACTTTGAACTGGAATTGTAATTTTGTCGACAGTCGTTGATGCATAGTCAGCAATTTCAATCCATTGATTTGGAACAGCCAGTGGTCCACTAAAGCTAAATATAGGCTAAAATTTTAGCCAATGATATTGCTCAAAAAAAAAGGAAAAAAAAAAAAGAGGACTATATCGGCAGTTGGTCATTTTTTCCGACCAACATCAGCTTACCCAATTTGCAGGTAAGGGTAGAGTTAATTAACCAACAAATAGTGTCATGTTTCCATAAAATCTCATTTAGTTTCACGAAAAACATAGAGTCGGTACAAAATTAAAAGTATTTTTCTGTACCTTCTGTCAACTTAACTATTCCAATAAGTTTAGCAAGTCGAAGTATTGTGTATTACAAGTTAGTACTAGTACCTCTAGGTTCTCTACGTCAATCAGTCTAGTTTCCAGAAATCTCATAACTACACCTGTCAACTTAACTATTCCAATAAGTTTAGCAAGTCGAAGTATTGTGTATTACAAGTTAGTACTAGTACCTCTAGGTTCTCTACGTCAATCAGTCTAGCTTCCATGAATCTCATAACTACACCTGTCAACTTAACTATTCCAATAAGTTTAG